TCTTCATTGAAACATATACATTTGAATTTGAACAGAATTTTTTTGACAAATGAAAGACAATTATTTATTTCGATTACTGTTTAAGAACATATGATTCCATTTATATGATTTCATTTAAAACATCATAGTTTATATATATATGTATATATATATATAGTATATATTTCATCTACAAAAAAATTAATTAGGTCAGAACAGTAAAATTCATGTTCTGACTGTTTAATATCTACGTAGATAAGTCACAGTTTACAGTTTTTGGACTGAACAGGAAACTAAGAATGTTACACAGATGTTATTTATGAAGTAGTAGTAGTGAGCATTTGCGTGTTGATCATCATCAATGATTTGTTGGCCTGCGTTACAATATAGAGTTCAATTTAAACTTTTGTTAATATGATATTATGTTGTTAATAAAACTGACTCCTAATGATGTGGTACTTTTTTTTGTCTCGTAATACTTTTTTTTAATAAACTAACTTGTTTTCATACTTATACTATATAGATTACAACTTTTATTATATAGATTCTAAAATCTCATGAGTATATTTTTTAAAAAAGGGACCATTTTAAATACCATTTCATTCTATAAAAATACCACAGAGACATTTTCTTGAATGAAACATATAGATAAATTTGAACAGAATTCTTTTACAAATAAAAGATAATTGTTTATTTCGATTCCCGTTTGAGAACGTACGATGTCATTTAAAATACAATCATTTATACAAATGACTTCATTTAAAATATATCGTTACAATTGATATTTTTTCTTTCATCCATAAAAAAATTAATTAAATCAGAACACGCCTATCTCGAAATTATTAATTTTTATCTATTATTAATCTATTTTGTAATATTTCTCGTTGTGGACAATAATATTGGTATAAATTCCCTAAAATAGGAACCTTCGTTACTATATAAGAATTGATGGGATACTGGAATGCCATAGAGCTATCTGCGCTGTGGACTAGGTAGTTGCATTCAACGGCGGAGGACCCGGGTTCGAATCCTGGTTATGGTATTTCTCCCTCGTTTTTCGGTAACAGAAGTTCTCTTTGCTATATGGGAAGGAATCGGCTGGGGGAGCAACGGAGAGGGAAGAAAACAAAACTGTTATCCATCATTGCGAGAGCCAGCCCAAACCCGATGACA